TATATCTCTAACGGTCATGTCTCTAATGGCTAGGCTTTCCGTAGATCTTGAATACAAGTTCCTTTTTCATGACAGAACCATGACAACTTTACCCGGTCACTGGCTGGTGCTGGGTATTTCGTGGGCTTGAATAGGCTGTATCCTGAGCCTCCTTGTCTGTTTTAGCTGTTCCTTTTCGGGAACTTCGTGCCCGGGAACTCCACCACTTATGTCACGTAGGGGGAAGTGGGGGAGTTATACTTTCCCAAACTGCAACAAAGATTCTGGTCGCTTTTTGTTTCCTTCTTCTTCTTTATTTCTGCTACTTGTAGAACCTTACAACGAACTCATCTGAACACTGGTAATGACTCTTGACTAGTTGCGACTTCAAATCTGACTCTTACTCCAACTGTAACTCTACTGCAACTCTCGCTGAACTATAGCTCTAAGTGAGCTCGTATTTAGTGCTAAGCTCACGTAATACGTCACATAACTGTTTTGTACTAGGTCAAACTAAATTGGACCAGTTAGGCCAAGTATGACGTAAGAGCTTAAAACAGGTGTTGACTTCAGGAATAAGTACGAAAAAGTCATTATAAATGACTTACTTAACAATAACAGATTGTCTATTGAAAAGTCATTAAAATATAGAGGTTTCCTTACGTTTGTTATTTACAGAAGGTTTAACAATAATGTTTTTATTTCTAGAATGTTTTTCCCTTACATTTTCCCTGATTATATTTTTCCCTTCTACAACGCCGAATATTTTTCTCAGATCAGCTTGTAATATGTGCATAACTATGATCTCCCTTCACTTTTCATACCTGTAAGGAACGCGGTAAGTACGCTGCCTGTTGTTCAACCAAAGTCTAGACTGAACTATGATGACTTGAGATCTACCTTCACTTTTCATACCTGTAAAGAACGAGGTAAGTACGCTGCCTGTTGTTCAACTAAAGTCTAGATTGAACTTAGTTGTAATAAATTCGAGTGGAGCGGCGTTTAGAATGGTCCATACATTCAGTCCTCGTCTTGAAGAACAAGCCTACATTAGATTGTGACATCTTCACCCATGAGAAAAAATGGTGCCCAGTAATACGGTTCGCTATAGCCGGAAGAGTTCCTCATCTCATTCATCGCTTGCTGTAAACTTGCACTCGCGCTCTCTCCGTCCATTAAGTGAGTATAGAATTTATTCATGAACTCTAGTGTTGCATCGTCATCGATGGCCCACAGAGACGCTACCACTGCACGAGCACCTGACGCTAGAAAGGCTCGACACATGCYAACTACTCCTTCAGMTYTGATTTCACCNCGWCCRCTGTRACARCAGCTTAACACAACTAACTGTGCACGTACTTKAGCCTKCTGTACWTCAGCCATGGTCAGCATGTAATCTTCTTCATCTGGGATCTTTGTTGCTCTTACCTCAGGAGAAGGTGCAAGCACGATGGTAGCTTTTGATAGGATACCATGTGCAGCAATGTGAACAACAGACACTGCTTGTTGTAGTTTCTCTAGGACAGCCTGCTTTGTTGCTGCTTCGCCTATTAGTGGCCTAACACCAAGTTTACAAGCTATTTCGATTGCTTCTGCTTCTGCACCTGGCAAACGTCCAATATCCACTTCTTTTCCATCCATCATTACCCTCCCAACCAAAGGATCACCAATAACCAAAGGCTTGGCATCGCTGGTTTGGTCTGTTGGGAAGTCTTCAAAATGCTTTAAAGTCGCTATTGAAGGAGCAAGTCTAATGCGCTTTGTCTCTGATAAATACTTTCCCGTGCGAGGATCTCGTAAGGCGGGAAAAGGCACTTTGTATAAGGGACCTTCAGGAATAATAACGACCTCGTCTTGCTTCGATGATAGTATTGCATCACATTCTAAGATATCAAATAGATCTTCTAGAGTAGATTCATTGATTTCAGCACTATTCTCATTAGCGCATATCTGTATATCTGTCACAGAATGCTTATCACAACTTGAATAATGCAAATTTGTCTCCCCTTCAATAAAAAACTTCAGCAAATCATCAAAACAAAGCGAGTAAAAGGCAATGCTGAAGTCATTTCTTGAGGCCAGAGACAAAACATCGCTGTACTCTAGGTGTTCATCATTGCTCTCCTCTTGTTTCATCTTGAAGTTTGACATCATAAGATCTTTCAATGCTCTTGCACGACAACGATCTAACACTAAAACCGCTTCTTCGATCTGTTTGCCGTCGATTAACAATATTGCCAACACCTTATAACTATCGATATATTCGTCAAATATGGAGATCTTGAATTCATCATGATTACCAATTCTGGTAAAGATCGCTTCAAAGCATCGTATAGCTTCTCTTAGATAATGTTCTGCCAAGTTCAGTTCTTTGTTCAACAAAAACAATTTACCAATTTCGTAATAAAAGTTGGATAGCTGCTCATCAGTATCAGAGCAAGACTCAGCAAGAGATATCCCTTCTTCGAAACTGTGTAAAGCCATGTCATTCTGACCCATCAACTGATACAACTTTCCGATTTTTGTGAAACAGAATAAGTTTACATAACGATTCAAGTCCATCTCTTTTAACTGCTCAAGGCAATTCATCCCTTTTTCATAATGTTTTTTGGAACAATAAAAACGGTAAAGCCTCATTAAAGCTCTATATATCTTTGTCTTATCGCCTGTCTTCACCGCTTGGTCAAGATCCTGTAGAAGCTCATCTTCAGAACAAGTTGGTACCTCTAATTCTTCCTTCACTAAGGATGCATCACACTTGTCAAGCAAACCAACTCTGAAATAAAGACTAGAACGAATTTCTTTGAACTTTTCTTCAGCTTCTTTTTCTCCAAGCTCTGTAGCAATCGCCATGCCTGCATCTATACTCTGAGACACATCATTGAACTGGAACGAGTCCATATATGTATGAGCGAGACATAAACGTCCTTCCATCTCAGTTTTTTTGTCGCCAATTTCTTGAGAGATGTCCAGGCATTTCTTACCGTATTGGATGGCATTATCGATGCTTTCCTTATCAACTGATGTCCGGTACAAAGACGCAAGACCGAGACATCCTTGTGCTTCAATCATTTTCTCACCAGTTTCCTGTGCCATGTCGATGCATTTCTTGAAATAATGCACTGCATCATTGTACTGATCCAGTGTCTGATATATCATTCCTAGATACAAACACGCTCTTACCCCCGCTCTCTTTTCGCGGCCAATACGGTTCACGATGTCGATGCATTGCTTGTAATTCTGAACGGCTTCATCGTATTTCTTCAAAGACTGGTATATCTTTCCCAAAGTCAGATACGCAATAACGTCTGCAGTTTTTTCTTCATTATCTTCCTTGTCAATGTGAACACACTTATTGCAGTTGGAAATGCCATCATCGTATTTCTCCAAGGAATAATAAATCTCTCCAAGTTCGCTATAAGCACGAGCCTCAGCATCTTTATCGCCAATAGTTATTGCAAGCTCAATACACTTGTTGCCATAGATAATTGCATTGTCGTAGTCAGAAAGACCGTTATATATATTCCCCATTAATAGGTAAGCCTTGACTTCACCACGCCTGTCTTCTATTTCCCTTGCTATTTTAATGCATTTCTGTCCAACGTCAGTGGCATCTTGATAATGATTCAAGGCAAGATGTGCTCTTCCAAGCTCTAAGTACGCGTCCATCATAGCCTCCTGATTGTTGTTTTTCATGGCGCAATCAAGAAGCTTGTGCGCATACAGAATAGTGTCATCATATTTCTGCATGTTTCTATATGCGTCCATCATAAGGTTATATGCATTCATCTCGCTTTCAGCACTATCAATTTCCTGGGCAATTTTAAGACATTTTTTGCCACAGTCAATAGCATCATCATAACGAGCTAATGATGTAAACCCATTTCCCAGCTTTAAGTACGCATTCATCATAGCCTCCTGATTGTTGTTTTCTATGGCGCAATCAAGAAGCTTGTGCGCATACAGAATAGTGTCATCATATTTCTGCATGCTTGCATATGCGACCATTATAAGGTTATATGCATTTATCTCGCCTTCAGCACAATCAATTTCTATGGCAATTTTAAGACATTTTTTGCCACAGTCAATAACATCATAATAACGAGCTAAGAATGAAAATACATTTCCCATTTCATGATGTCCATACATTTCGTTTTCTTTATCGCCGATAGTTTGAGCAATTTCGATCCATTTCTTGGCGTGCAAGATGACGTTTTCAAACTCGTTGAGCTCCTTATATGTGAAGGTCAAACATGTGTGAACTATTAACTCATAAGATGGTATTGCTACAGCTAACGGTAATATTTCTTTCAGATACCTTAGTGAATCAGCATGTCTACCTATGCTGTTGCTATGCACTACGAACAGCCAGCATGAATTCATCATGGTACTTATATCATTACAGTGTTTAGCCATCTCTATGCATTCTTTGTACAGACAAATCAGCTGTTCAGTTGACAGTCCAAGTTCCTCTGGCAACTTGGAGGCCGACGCAAAGCAAAACCTTACAAAAGTAGTCTTCTTGAACATATTCATCTTCAGCTTTACTTGTTATTCAACATTCAACTAAAATCAAACAATAAATTAAATAATTAAACAAGAACACACTAGAACGAACGAAGGAAGAATAAAAATATTTTTAAATACTAAACATTGAAATCAAGAAAAACATTCTTTTGTATACATCAGTGGCAGATCCAGGAATTTTAGAAGGGGGGTTACAAAGGTTTTACCAGGAATACCAGGAAAAGGGGGTGGCTTACTAAGGATAATACTGAGAAATATGAGCAAAACGGTGAGGACCCCTGCATCCACCTGCATCTGTACATAAATACACCTTTTGCCGTTCATTAACAGAAAATGTACATTCATTTGTGCCAATAGTTGTATCAATAACGTGTAATGTACTTTCATCAACACCACAAGTAACATCGTTAGCGCGGATCAACTTTCAATAAAGACAATTGAATATGCGTGTACATTCAT